CGCGTGTAACGAGTAAAGTGCGTTGTGGTCTGCGTATTTTGATGTAATGCATGATAGAAGAAATGAGAAAAGAGAGAACGAGGGAACTAAAAGATACGAGAGTATAAAAATATTTCTCGAGCGCGAAGGATTAAAGACAGCAAAATATCGCAGCGAGAACATCGCGGGTGCACATAATCGGATTTTATCTAATAAGCCCGTGTCGCTCTTGTACGACCCGTTGGGTTACTAGGAAGACCAATTGAGGGAACACGTGTTCCTTACGACCTACACGCGATGTTACGATATTACAATTGACCCCAGCTGGAAGATCAATTCACGTTGAGTAATTTATCGATCCCAAGAAAGCGTGGATTTTTCTCGCTCATCTTCTTGGGAACTTATGGCAGTTTTCTCGTATGGTAGTTGAAGTGTGGAATACTATGGTATCGATAAAGTGGTATCACCGAGTGATTGGCAGTGCGATTGATGAGAGTTTACAATGGTGGATCGAGGGAATGTTTATGATAAGCTATCAGTAATGTGAGAAGATGAACGAGTTCCTAGAATGCAGGTGGAATTTTTGAACATTTCACATTGTATAATGTGAATGTGTACTGTAGATGGGTACTAAGATTGCAAAGAATTACTAATTGGGATAGATTAGTAATTAAATTAGTAGATTAGTCTAAAGATAACCGATTGAATGGAAATTGAAGAGTGCAACAAGGACAACAGTCGAGCAGAGGATACAGGAAAGATGGTCGAGGATAAATAAATCAACATACTACACATGGTATAAAAATAGGAAGAAAGAACTAGGGTAAGAAACATATTGGAATGATAACAGAACCAAGAGAAGTAGAACAAGACAAGGAACAGTGGGCACGAGTCAGAAGGAGAGTAACACTTGGTTAACACTTTACAGAATTGTAGATTTAGTTATCCGGTTCAAGAAAGTGTTCCATTATAAGGGCAACTACTCGATAGTTTTTGCAATATTTATGATTAAAGTTAGTAAATAAAATAGTAATTAAATTAGTAAGATTAGTGCAGAGACTGGGATTGGTGGTGGTAAATAGGATTATTTATTAATTAATAATAATAAATTAACAACATGTGAGTGACGATTAAACACACGAATCTATATCGACTCCAACTTGAGACTACGCTCAACTCAACGACACAATGGCAACTCAACCTGTTACAACTAATGGCTCACAACTTGTAGCGTCCTACGGTACCGAATCTCTTCGATTTCCAAGAACGCTTATCACGCGCCAAATTAATATTGCGCGACTAGTCGCGATAATAAGGATCCAGAATGTCAAAAGAGAGTGTTTATTTACAGAAAAGCGTAGAATAGTTATAACGTAGACGTTAACGGAGTACAGTTTCGAACACGCGTTTGTACGTGTAATTTAGATGTTTGAAGGATCGGTGCCGAAGACGAACTGACTTCTCGATTTTGCTCTATGTCCTGTCTCGTCGTGTTCGGTCCGGTGTTTTCTCTAGTTTAGTTCTGGTTGGGTAAAATAGACGTTGGTGGTGGAAAGGTAAAGAGTTTTAATTGGACAGAGGATGTGACATAAGGACCTTTGGCGAAGGAGTAGGAAACTGTCAAGGAGCCGATTTCTGATAGTCGATGACGTGATTTATAAGTGCCGTCCGTCCGTCGCTTGTTGGGTCTGTCACAAGTGGGTCCCATCTGTTGCGTCTGGTACTAGTAAAATTCCTAATTTTGCTTTACCTTTATAAGCTTAATCCGCTAGAACGGCGTTGAGGCACATCGAACCTCTGGTAACGGAGTACCGTTTCGAACACGCGTTTGTATGTGTAATTTAGATGTTTGAAGGATCGGTGCCGAAGACGAACTGACTTCTCGATTTTGCTCTATGTCCTGTCTCGTCGTGTTCGGTCCGGTGTTTTCTCTAGTTTAGTTCTGGTTGGGTAAAATAGACGTTGGTGGTGGAAAGGTAAAGAGTTTTAATTGGACAGAGGATGTGACATAAGGACCTTTGGCGAAGGAGTAGGAAACTGTCAAGGAGCCGATTTCTGATAGTCGATGACGTGATTTATAAGTGCCGTCCGTCCGTCGCTTGTTGGGTCTGTCACAAGTGGGTCCCATCTGTTGCGTCTGGTACTAGTAAAATTCCTAATTTTGCTTTACCTTTATAAGCTTAATCCGCTAGAACGGCGTTGAGGCACATCGAACCTCTGGAATTGCAGTCGCGTTATAAAATATAAAATAAACCGTTAGGTCTGGCAAAAGTGTAAGCCTTAGAATAAAATTATGTTATAAACACGCTCTCCGGGACGGAACACAACTAAGAACTCCTCTAAAGAACTGTCTCTCAAAAACTGTCTTGTTGGTTCACTAACAATTCGTTGGCCCTTAGTCGCTAGAAGGGCCTGGCTGATAAACGCAGACCAATTTCAGAGTCCAAAAACAATTGACTCGTTCCTACTTTCACTAAGGGCCAATCTTCACCCCACCAAAAACTAACATTATATAAGAACCCACAAAATTTGCGAAAGGTCAGTTTCAGTTCCAGTTTCAGTATTTCTCCAACGTAGAATTGTTGCTAGAACCCGTATTGTATATTGAAATCCGGGTGTCAGCAGTCTCCAACGAACTGCCTGCTAATCACTGTTCCCTAAGAACTGTTTCCTAACCACTTTTGCCTTCTTTTATATCTTCCTCAACACGTACACGTTTTCCAAAAGCCACCCCCAACATGGCCCCCAATATGGCCGTGTCAAGGGCCTGACGCATCACCGAGGTTTTTCCGACCAACCTGGTCCTCGAATCCTCGGTGACTTTCTATGCTAAAGCTACCTATACACGAGGTGTAAATCCTGCGACCCTACATTAGTAATTAGGATTGGCAAATGCCAAGAGATTAGTTGTCAAAAGTATCAGAAGAGAGTGTCATAAATGAAGAGAGTAGTAAAAGAGAGAATGAGCTATATTTTAATTAATTGAATAAATATTCTTAAACAAACTGAAGCTCTATTCCCGCTACACCCGTTTCTACAAATTAGGGGCCCAACTTGCAATACGTTACTGTAAGATAAGAAATCGAAGGATTGGAAGGTGATAGATCGCGATCCAGGATTTAGGTAATCAACTGTTAAGTGAGAAATCACGCTGCGCGGAAGCATCGGATTAAGCACCGCGGACCCGGAGGTGCTAATATTCCGCGGATCGAGCTTAATGTTGCGGAAGAACAGGGTAGAATCGAATTCGTCCTTCCGTGGAAGATAGGAGCCGGCGGTCCAGCGGAGTCAGGCGCGGCGGTGCATCTTTTCGTGCCCCGTGACCGCGATAAATCACTTTGCTACCTTTCAGAGGTGGTCGGATTTAAATTCCGCCTTATCAAAGCCGCGTGAGAATGGAAGGTCTTTGAAATTTATGGCAGCTGTTTCGCCTCATCGCGACGTCCATCTTTCTCTCGACTTGGACGTACAGTCGACCTTCTTGTAACACGGTGCGAAATTTGCCACGGTTCTTCTATCGATTTATAGGTGCAAAATAGTGGTTCTACAAATAGTAATCTGCAGTCAATTTTATCATAATTCGTAGTAAGCTGTATCATACGTATAGTAACTTTTAAGGTAACGCATAGTAACTTTGTCGTATTCATAGTAACTTTTATCATAATGCTTAGGAACTTTTATCGTAGTGCGTAGTGAGTTTAATCGTAATGCAAAGTGATTTTTATCCTATTCATAGTAACTTTTATCGTAGTGCATAGTAAGTATAATCGTAATCCAAAGTGACTTGCATAGTATTCATAGTAACTTTTATCGTAATGCATAGGAACTTTTATCGCAGTGCGTAGTAATTTTAATCGTAATGCATAGTAACTTTTATCGTAACGAGTAGTAACATTTGTCGTATTCACAGTAAATGCTTAGGAACTTTTATCGTAGTGCGTAGTGAGTTTAATCGTAATGCAAAGTGACTTGCATCGTATTCATAGTAACTTTTATCGTAGTGAGTAGTAAGTTTAATCGTAATCCAAAGTGACTTGCATAGTATTCATAGTAACTTTTATCGTAATGCATAGGAACTTTTATCGCAGTGCGTAGTAATTTTAATCGTAATGCAAAGTGACTCCTAATATTTGTATAGTAACTTTTATGATAACGTATAGTAACTTTAATCGTAATGCAAAGTGACTCTTAATATTTGTATAGTAACTTTTATCGTAATGCATAGTAACTTTAATCATAGTACAAAGTGACTTCTATCGTATGCATAGTAACTTTTTTCGTAATCCATAGTAACCTTCATCGTATGCATAGTAACTTTTAGCATAATTGTAGTAACTTTAATCGCAATTTACAGTGACTTTCGGCGTAATGCATGATTCGTTTACACTAGAAATTAATTCACTAAATGGATACAGAGCCACAAACTTAGACATACGTTGATACATATACCAATTTAATTATTAAGAATTATATTAAAGAAATTTCCTATTTATTTAATCTTTTTTATCATCGTAACGGTTATAAACAGTATAAATTTAGTCAACTATTTTCAATTCGAAATTACTATAAAACTGAAACGTTTATTTAAACATAATTCTCTATCTATTTATTCCTGTATTTCCATGATATCTAACGAAACAAATAAAAAGAAAATTCCAATCGCAATTACGAAGAAATAGAGGAATAAGAACCTCTCAGAAACCGCAATAAGAAAAATCAAGCGAGTGATCAATTCATTGCAAAATTCTCGTTCAAAAATTAAAAAATCGGCGATTCTAGTCTCTCAAATATTCCAATCAAAGGTTTCTTTCAACACGGAACGAACGAACGAACGGACCGTGTTATAGGAGGGTGAACTGCAAGAAAATTCGCAAGGGGGGGACGAGAATCCTTCCGCGCCATCAGTGCTCGCGCTTTGATTCCGCTGCCGGTCGCTCGTGCGAGGAAACGCGAGGCGGATTTCCTGCGAGGACCCGATGTTCTTTCCCAGGCTATTTATCGAACCGTGAAGTGGCGCTTACCTCCTCGAAAAGCGATTCAGCAGTTTGCCAAGGCTGCGGAAGTAACGCGGGGCGGTAACGTAAACGTAGACCAGCTGATCGTCGTAGCCGTAAGAATTTCGATCCCTGTTGCGGGTATGATTGTATAGATCGGCAGTGGCAGCGCCTAAAGTGGCGTTCAGCAGCGTCCCCCACCTTATCTAACCCAGGAACCAAGCAAATCATTTTTCCTCTGCGGCATGGCCGCAGATCCGCTCGCGTTAACGTCTACTCACATAACCGAAACTCTCCTGAAGATAGGACATGTTGAAAGGGACGTACACCCTCTGATCCACGTCCACCCAGTTGTATAGATCCTTGTGCTTCGGATAGATCTGCAGGGTGAAAGAGTGAACGTTATTCCAGGGAATTGTGGGCAGAGAAGGATGTGATAGAGTTGCAGCGATACTTCTGATTGGCAAATATAAGGAATAAGAGATGTTATTTTATTGCAATATATATAGGGATACTATTTAGATTGGCAAATATAAGGAATAAGAGATGTTATTTTATTGCAATATATATAGGGATACTATTTAGATTGGCAAATATAGGGAATCAAGATGTTATTTAACCCTTTACACTCGAGAGGCGCCTATCAGTCACCATTTAATCGTATTCTAAAGATGGATATTAATTAATATATCAAATTTACAATTACCCAACGATGCGTGGAATATCGAAGTAAAATAATTCTACGTCTTAAATTGCATACGATTCCTAATTTACTGCTTTAAAAATATCCTTGGCCTTATGGCAGGAAATCTTCGAATTACTAGTTTCCTGTAACGAAAAGATCGTCGAGTGCAAAGGGTTAATTCCAATATATTTCATTTACGAGATAAAGAGAGTTAACACGTTGAATGCCACGGGGGTCACCGATGACCGGCGACGCGGCCATTAGAAAAATACATAATTAGTGTTAACGTGTTAAAAATTGCACTCTGTCCTCTTTCATACTCATGCTCTCTTTCTGAATCGATGGGTCACTTGTCCTAAACACTGGAACACGTGTTAAGAATAAAAATACAAAACTAAAAGATTAAACTAATTACGCTTCGAATTATCACCGACTCGACTTTCTTTCAAACCTCGTATCGTACTTTCACCAAAAGGACTGGTCCCAGGACAGCCTTTGCACCCTGCTTGTTCTCGCACAACCATTTAATCTGGGCTATGAATACATATATGGGTTCTCGCACAACCATTCAATCTGAGCTATGAACGCTCTATAGTTTTCTAAAGTAATAATTTTGTAATAATTTACAATTAGTTTCGAATATTGCCGAAACGTTATATTTCTCGTATCTTAGTAATTAACCTTGCACTCTTCATTTGCACTTATTAGAAAAATTACAACATGGAGGATATAAGAACTGACCTTGCTAAGGGACAGGCAGAATTGCAGGAGCAGATCGGTCTCCGAGGCGCGGTCCTTGGGGTCCATGGTCCTGGGCAGGAGGCCGTCGACGATCCTCTGAATTCTGCGTGATCTCTGCTCCTCCATCTTGTTCTGAAAGCAACCAGCTCCGTTGGATCCTTCGATCAACAAGCCTCGCGTGTATTCGGCCAATCACGCGTGTAAAATCTGCTCGCGGTGCCCTCCACTAGGCCGGGATGAAGACGTGGGTTCGCTCGAATGGATCGAAACGGCCGTTATCGCGGTCGCTAAAGGACCAGGATTGATGATCGCGGGAGGAAAAGGGCGAGAAAGGCACCCGAGCAAATACGTCATCCGTGACCGTGGAGGAAGATCGATCGTTCGCAACATTCGCGAAAAGGCAAAGGGCCTGGACAACAGGGAACAGGAGGGGGCAGGAAAGAGCAGAAGAAACTCCACGGTTCATCATAAAAATTAAACCCTAATCGTTCCAAATGCACGAATCTTCTATTTATCATACCTTCAGACATACATGCGTAATTCATTCGTAATTTATTTCGAATAGCCGATGCTTAAATACGTCTAGACGTCGGGAAGACCTGGAAATGACCTGTCATTGGCAGGATTAAAATTAAACTGGTAAATTGTCTTCTGCAGGAATACTGAATAAGCATCTACAAATTATTATAGTCGGTTAATGATCGTTTTCAGTAATGGATAGTCATGGAGAGTATTATTTTGAATGTTTAGGACAAATGAGGGATGTTTCAACCCCTCATTCTAGGCACAGAAGGGGGGCAGGAAAGAGCAGAAGAAACTCCACTGTTCATCATAAAAATTAAACCCTAATCGTTCCAAATGCACGAATCTTCTATTTATCATACCTTCAGACATACATGCGTAATTCATTCGTAATTTATTTCGAATAGCCGATGCTTAAATACGTCTAGACGTCGGGAAGACCTGGAAATGACCTGTCATTGGCAGGATTAAAATTAAACTGGTACATTGTCTTCTGCAGGAATACTGAATAAGCATCGACGAATTATTATAGTCGGTTAATGATCGTTTTCAGTCATGGAGAGTATTATTTTGAATATTTAGGACAAATGAGGGATGTTTCAACCCCTTATTCTAGGATTTAAGTTCCGATAGCAATAATTAACAGCAAGGTCGATCATGTGTCGTGTCATTTTTGTTGGATGACCAATTTTAGTCAGTGAAAAGACCTACCTGATGAAGCCAGACCAACGTTAGAGTTCAAAACATCTTACGGATTCGTACCTTGACTAAGGTCCAATGGTAATTTTCACCCCTCCAAGAACATATAAAAATGTATAAGAATATATAAGCACCTCTGAACACTGTACAAGATCAATTCTTATTCTCCGCCGATTCATAGTTATTATATTTTCCGACGTAGCCTCGTATCAGAACTCATATTGTATATAAAAGTATATATTTCTCAATTGCAACATTTCGTGGGAACACGAGGAATAACGCATAACCGATAAGGAGGACGTAGTCGACTAAAGACATTTAGAAATCCTGACTACCTTCTGCTTTCGATCTTCGAGAACCGTGATCCTTGACACGCGTCATCGTCCAATTTCCACTCACCTTGCTGACCTTCAGAATATTCTCACGACCGTCCATCTCTCTAACATTCCCGATACTTCGCGTGATAGTGGCTACGTGATAGACAGAATTCGCCACCTTAGACTCATTTTTCCTTCGAGATCCAGTAACAGATCCATCTATCTCTCCTCTCCTTACAGGTATACATTGAGGGAGGGTTTCTTCCAAACCCCACGCACGCAAGACCCACGCGTGTGACCCTTCGCAATGGTGATCCTTCACGAACACCTGTCTATTACAGGCAGAAGGTACGACAGAGCAAGATAGGTGTTCGATCATTTAACGACACTAACTGTCCCAAGCGAATAAAACCCCTCAGCGCATTAAGTAAATATGTCGCTTATGTCGGTTATCGCTGCTACGTGCTCGTCACACACGCCGCCATATTGGTAACCGTAGCTCGCATACTCTCGCAAAGTTTCCACGAGATGGAATCATCCGAATGGAATCGCACTGATCCTCCGATGGAATCATCCTCGTCGACCTGTGTGTCCTCCACTATCCACCATAGTCATTCCTACCCCTCTTTCTCCTCTGCTAAATAAACGAAGTGACGGCGAAGAAGCTCGTCAGGCCAGAGCCCGCGGAGCCGAATGGTATGGTAACTAAAGCAATATCCGCTGGTTCGTGTTTTATTCTCGTGATGCGAGCGAGGATTGGAAAGAGCGTGGAAGAAGAGCGGAGTAGAAGAACGGAGGGGTCGAAAGGCTATATGAAGCCGTGGAAAAATTCATCGAAGGGTAAGGGGAACGTCTCAATTACTGGAGATTGGCTCCGGGAATCCCGGGCCAGTGGAAATTCGGTCACTTCGTTGCGGAGTGGTATTAGAAAGGCAGTTTTGGAATCTTCTGCGTAATGGAGAGGGGAAATTTAATAAAGTTTCGGCCGATCCGCGTGGCAGGAGGCAGCAATGGACAAAGGGAAATGGGCCGTGCGACAGGGGAGAAGAGGGTTGCCGTGCCTAGGGGGATGGTCGGGGAGGAGTTGGAATCAGAGGCGTCGAGAGCTCGCGAGCCACTCGAACGGTAGAAACGAAACGACCTAACGAACGAAATCGGAACATCGTCCCCAGTGCGAGGGAATTAATGAGCTGGATTCGATTACTGGCCAGATTTTTTCCCTCCAACCCTTGCTCCGCTCTCGAAGGACTCGGGAAATCTGGCTCCTGGCTGGCTATGCTCGCGCGAAATTTACCAGGACCATGATTCCGTTCGAGAGGGTGAGAGGGAAGATGGATGTGCTCCGTGGTACCTGGAGAGCTCGATCGAACGTGATAAACAGGTAACTAGCGTTTAAATCCGTTCCTCTGTTTCGTGGCTAGAATAGGGATACAGATGGCGTGTCAGTGGGCTGGCCTAATCGCATGAACACGGGGAGAGGTGTGTTCCAAACACGAATCTCCGTTGCTCATTACCGTGTATAATTCGCATCGCGAGTGAACCATCCTAGACACAAGCGGATTAATACTGAGAGAATTATTACAGAATCTGGAAACTTACGACGAAATAATTACTATATAACTGAAATATTATGATTTTAATTGCGAGATAGAGAGGGTACGCCTGTGTTTCACTCCTTTGAGGTGCCGAAACACCCATAAGCCGGCAAATGATTTCTTTGTCCTGGGCCTTTTGGTTGCGCGCGGCATACGCAGCTAAGAAGTCAGTCTTCGTCTGGCATCATTGGTGTAAACCACGGGAAAAGAGATAATTTAATAAAGCTTTAAAACCTGAGAAACACTGAGTACATTTATTTTATAACATTGATACCATTTGAGATATTCGTATATCAAATTTGATAACAAAAATTCGTGTGATGCAAGTGGGTTAATTGATTGAAGGATTATTATTTACAATTTCGAGCATATGACAAAGAAAAGCAAAATTCGTACGAGAAGGAGCGAGTCTTGGCTCTGGATCGTGTCAATTGACCCAAGTCTTCTCAGCACTCTATAGTATTGTACTGCGCGTTGCACACGAGAAGTCCGCTGAGCAAAACGTAGGACCGAATCTCCACTAACCCTCATCAATTCATCCATTCTAACGTCATCGCAGAAATGATCCCTTTCTATCATATACATATACATATCTATTTCTCCTAAGAGATTGATTTTTGTATATACGTTAAGACATGTCTTATTTTCAACAGTTACCAAGGAGCAAAGTTATGGAGCCTACTTATTAAAATTTCTTACATTTCAGTTTAGACTAAATCATTTTTATATTTACATCATTGCTTATTCTATTGCCTACACAACATTTCTACAGTATTTACAGGGTGTAATCCCGCGAACGTGGCTGTGCTTCAGGAATCATTAGGCCCTGAGCGGGAAGCACGCGTTTGTAGGGGTCTTCCCCCATCATCGTTGATGTTGGGAAGGCGCAGATGTCCTTCTTGGCAGGGATGTGGCTATAAGGGACGGTAGGAAAAGGAAGGGATACAGCGCGTTAGGTTAGGTTAGGTTAGGTTACGTTAGGTTAAGTTAGGTTAGGTTTCCAGGGGGCTCCGATATCGCATGAGGATGGCCATCGTGAGGGTTTTAGAAGCTACAAATCCCACTTAACCCCGCTCCCCCCCTAGGGGGACCGGGTATCTACTTGAAGATTTCCCCCACGTAAAATAAAAAAACAAAAAAAATGAAAGGTTAGGTTAGGTTTGGTAATTTCGTCGGCTCGCGAAGTCCAGGGCGCTCCACTTTCGCGGTAGGGTGGCCATTGTGAGGGTTTTAGTGGGTTAAAATCCCACATAACCCCACCCCCTCCCTTAGGGGGGTCAGGTATTTTTCGAAGATTTCCCCCACATAACAAAAAAAAAATAGGTTAGGTTAAGTTAGTTAGTTAGGTTAGGTACTAAACTCATCAGTAAGACTACTATACCTGGCTCAGGCCCTACCTCAGACTTGGATACTATTGATAGGACGGGATGTCACATATATAATATAGGATTTGGAGGTTTTCCGGGGACTCGCGAGAAAGTCCTCGAAGTTGGAATCCATCTAGTGGCGACGGTGTGAATGATGGTCGCTACGCGTTTAGTTTATCAAGCGGACGCGTAACGCGACTTGGTCTAATAAACGCAGCGGGAGCGTACTCGGGTAAATTAATAAGATGAATCCGATTAGCTGGTCCACGGGCAACGGCCGGTTTATTTGCGCCGGTTAGAGCTTAACGACTGATCCCTGCGGGAGGGAGTAGCAGTGGGCGCAGCAAAAAATTCCCAGCGTCGCGTTTTACTCCACCCGAGCCCGTGTAAAACGGGGGCCGCGGTTTACGCGTGGGTATATAAAACGTTGAAACGCGGATTTATTAAATCCGCGTCTACCAACCGCGGTAACAAAGCCAGCTCCGCGTGGCCGCTCATCGCTTTCGGGAATTAGGCAAAGTGGACCGCGTCGACTATCTACACTGGCCTGTAATTAGCGGCAGGGACCCGCGAAAATCGCGCTTGGATGGGGTCTATGGGGTATGAGATGGTGTCTCGTCTCTGGGATGTAA